TATCTTTAAAATATTGATTTCTTAATTTTGGGTTGGAAAAGTGGGAGTCGTCTTGTACGTGTGTGCATCTTATTGATGGAAAAATACAGTATTTCTTGTACAGTTGATTCAAGATACAGATTTGAGTTCAAAATAAGGAAAGCAGCATAGCTGAGCATGTTGTTTGTGTGCCAGCTGATAAGAAGCATTTGGTAGTAAGCACTTTGTTTTTAATAATAACAGAATGGATTACGTATGATTGGCGTTTGAGGAAAAGGCCTCATTGAAGCTACTTGCCTCTCAGCCTCACTTTTCCTATTGTAAAAATGGTGTTGAGCAGAATATTGTTGTTCAAGAGAGCAGTGTGGTATTGTGGACCTCAGAGCCCAATGTTGCCTTGCACTTAGATTCTTGGACAAATAGCTTTTCTTTCAGCATCAGCCTCGGCTATCAGACACCAAAGTTTGCGACCGGCACTGCTTCCAAGGCAGCCATTCCATGATGTGTTTGGAAGCGCCTAACCCAGTGTGGCCAAGTTTGGACAACACTGGCCTAACCTAACTTGTCATAGATATTGGCTACAAGATGACAGTAGCACTCCTGGAAAGGATGGTGGGGAATGAACGAACAAGCCAATGCATAAGCAAATAATATTTTAATTGCTTTTGAGGCAGATAATTCTTATAATTAAAGAAACAGTGACAAGGACCATTCCCTCCCCCCTCAGGATATACTTTATCCTGTATTTTTCCATGGTTTAGGTTGCCTTACACTTTTAAAGAAAAAATGTGAATACAGTACCTCATCGTGAAGCATAGATTCAAGAATTAGTCCCCAGAGATCTGTGAATGATAACGTGTGACCCTCAACATGCCTGTTCTGTATTTCCTTTTCATAATATTTCAAGCGCTCTCCAGTAAAACAGCACAGTTTATTTTTCACCACCTGTTTCCGAACATCAGTGATCACATCTTCCAGATTATTGTGTGACCAATATGGATCTTTGTATAAATTTATCATAGTCCTGGGAAAAGGAATTTTAAAAGCTAGCATTTATATTTGAATTAGCTAGTAACTTTGAACAGAGACAGACACTTACCAGTACATTAACTTATCTCTATATTCACCATGTTGGTCTGTACAATTCCACCAAGTAGTCCAAAGAATTTTATCACATATTTGTACCTGGTTAAATATTAAATATCCAGGAAAGGAAAGGAATGTTCAACACTTTACAGGAGCACATACAGCCTGTAAAGTTGGGGGAGCAGGGAGGGAAGGGGAAAATTATGGCATTGAGCACAAGGGAAACACTGTCGCCTCTGAAAAAAATTGGCACTGGGAATTGTCGTAGACCAACTAGGAAGGAAAATTCTAATGTATATTTTCTTTCATAATTATTTCAGTTTTTCTACCACATTAACCAAAACTGTAGCCTGTTAATAAACATAATGCAGCATGCCAAAAAAGGACAGTCAGAGGGGTGCAAGTATTTTTTTTTAAATACTTGGATAAAATGCCACAATTTTCCTTTATTAAAACTTCAGATATAATAGGGAATGCAGGGCAATGACTTCCCAAATCAGATTTACAGCAGAAAAAAACATTCAGGTTGGTTTGGTTTTTTAATTGACTGCAAAAGAGACTATTGCAATTTTTACTAATACAGGATGGAAGGAAAGGATAATTGGGAGGAACCGGAAACTAAACCTTAGAGCACCATTAGTAATTTAGTCTAGTTTTTGTTTGTTTGTTTATTTAATTATGGGTTAAATATATAGATTTCATCAGAAGCACATATTTGAGGAGAAGAGATTTTACCTTTACCTCCCCATGATGATCCCAATGAAAACTCTCCCCAGGAACAGCTGTGAGTCTTAGAAGAAAGCAACTCCCACTGACACCAACATTCCCTGAATAATTTTGCTCATGGCTTCCTTACCATGTTGTGCCAGATAAACCAGTGATGTATGAAATACAGTGTAAGAGATTGAGCTTCTGGAGACCTAATAGGCTCCCATACATGGCTGTCATTGATCTTACTCCACCTGCTGTAGTCATCACAGCCACTACTGGAACCTGAACAAACACAGGTATAAATAAAATTAAATGCTTCTATTCATAAATAAAATTCATGTTTGAATAAAAGAGGGGCATGTATATATAAACACACTATTTGCAAAAGAGCTAACTCAAATGAAGCCAGGTTCATTATGCATATTATTTTGCAAAATGGCATCATTTCCACGAGAGATTTTTCTTTCAAAAATACATACACATAACGTTAAGTAGATTAGAACCAAGCCCTTGTCCCAGAATAATGCAAGCAGATATAAAGGAAATTATATGGCAAAATCCATGAACATCAAGCATAATATCTAGAGACCTTATCAAGCATCTTTAAGGTTCCCAGCATAACTCTCTGACATTACACTACGTTTTACATGAGATCAGTACTTTATGTACATGGCTCACAAACCCAGATATTGCAATGAGTTTTACATTAAACCATCTTTGAAAACTCTTTGGAAGCTAAGTAAGAGCAAAATACCAGCTATACATTTCTTTTTAGACATTATCTAAAATTGGTATTGACTAATAAACCCCTAGGGTCTGCCCTCCTGTCAAATGAACCCAGCTACTACAGCAACTGGATCATGGGCTCTGCTCAGTTATGTTCCATTCCAAACAGTAAGAACAAGGAGACACAAAGAAAACAGCCGCTCACTGTCACCCAGCTTTTCCATGTTAATGATAAATCACCATACAGTAGCAGAAAGACACCAGGTGCTAGTATAGAAATTCTCAAAAATCTCTAAATCCCATGAAATGCCTTTACCCTGTCCATTTGTTCAAGACCTTCCTTATTAGTCTCTTGGTACCAATTAAAAAGACTCATATTTATTCAAGCTTCTAATGAAGTCTAAGATCTTTTGGTGTCTATAATCTAGTGCATTTCAAATGCTTTTTTATACGTTGCAGCTTTTGCTCTTTTTATATATATCGTGTTAAAATTTATTTATTATTTCAATTTATATGGCCACTATCTCAAGTTCATGATTCTGGGCGGCTAAGAGTGTTAAAGGAAATTATAAAACCAGACAAAGAAAAACGACACACATAAAACAGCAGCTGGGTTATAACAGACCCATCAGTCACAAGTTAGCATAACCAATGTACGAGCTCAACCCACTTCCCAACTCCCAGACCCAGTGACAAAACCAAGTGTTTAAGGTCCTATAAAAGGTCAGCAGGGTCAGGACCAATCTAATCTCTGAGGGAATGACGTTCCAAAGGATGGGTGTCACAACAGAAAAGGCTCTCTTCCTGGGCCCTGCCAGATGGCACTCTGTAATTGATGGGAATCGGAGCATGCCTCTCCTACTGGACCTAATGATGTGATTATGCAGAGGTGGTCCCTCAAATAACCCAGCCCAGTGCCATGAAGAGCTTTGCAGGTTACAACCAGCACCTTGAAATGAACCCAGAAACAAGTGTAACCAATGTGGCTCATGGAGCAGAGGTATAACATGTGTTGATCAAGAGTGCACATAATTGCCTACGTTGCTGCATTTTGTACCAGCTGTAGCTTCCAGATGCTCTTCCAGGGCAGCGCCATGTATTATTGCTGTTTTGCTTTTATTGTTACTTTAATTTTTTAGTTTTACTTGTTGTATAGATTATTTTAAACAGTAGAAGTATGTTATTATATTTATAAAAATAAATGCACACTAGTTTGGTAGTGGCCTTTTTGAAGGTTAAACAAGAAATGTAATTATTGTATATGGATAAAATGATGTATTAAGCATATTCTGTATATTTTTAAAATATAAGCCACGCCTATAATTGGTGAAGAAAAATGGGATTTCTAATGTACTTAGACACTTGAGACAGAAAAGTTCAAAGCTCCTTCTCTGGAAATAAGAATTCAGTAATAAGATTTAAAACTAACCATTTTTCAGGATATCCAAAATCAGGTGCCTGAGACAAGCCAACTTCTTTATACCAAATGATAGGACCAGACACTTAAAGGCAAACTTGAGTTCACATGTTTGAATTAAGAACTGGGGAAGAGACTAGATACCGATGAGGAATTTGAGTCTTCCAGCCTCTGGCCTAAGTATATGTTATGCATTAATATGTGCATATATATACATATAGACACAGCCTTACCCATCACCATCACTTTCTCTGTTCCTTTTACATTGCTCTGGGGCAGGTCATACCTCATTGTCTTGCAGTTCTTCTAGCTGAAGAATATTTTTCAACGCAGCAGCAACATGTCTCTTGCGCTTACAGATGAAATCCTGCTCCTCTGGACAGAGATCAAAGCCCAAACGTATATCTGGGTCTTTCTGGCTAGATAATAGAAACTCCTATCATAATGCACACTAATGAAAGTATCATGATTTGAGCACATTCACAATTTTTTTTACCAATATACTGTTTACCAATATAATTTGTAAGTGTGAAAAGGGGAGAATACTTGACTCTAGTACGAATCTTTGACTGTAGCTGAGTAATGCTATTTGTTGGTTTCATTTTCATGACACCTTAAATTGCTTCAGGCAGATAATATAAATATTTCTTTTTCTCTTTTCCATACATCTCTGCAGTCACAATCTTTGGCTTCCTTGTGATTAAATATACCCTGTGAATGCTGAAAAGTGGCCATTTCTGGTTAGCATAAAGCAGAATTTGGAATTAGTAAATAAACATGGTTTCAAATTCCAAATTAGAATTAATCAGAAGTGACAGCCATCCAGCAGTCAGAAAGTAGAGAGATGCCACGATCATGGTTATAGAGCTGTATAGAGCAGGGCTATGGAGAAGTTTTATTCATGTTATCACCTGGAATGACTTAATGTGATATGCAAATAACTAGAAATTTTATTTTGTATTTCATAGGTGACCAATATTTCAGATTTCATCATTGCTATTTTTTTTTAAAAAAGGGAGAAGCTCTAGACCACTCTAAAGCATTATAACTATAAAAGTAAAATTCTACACACATAGTTGAGTTCAAATTTCAGACTTTAAAAAATTGTACTCAAATGACAACATGAGAAATTATACCAAATTCTGAATATTAGCAAATGTTTATTTCAGCTCTTGTTTAAAACAAGTTGAGCCTAGACACCTCACTGTTCCTATCCTTGTATTCCTAGCTAAAAATGGAAGAAGTACAGAATGAGAATTAGAGCTTTATTTATATCTTTAGTAGACAAGAAGGGAAAAGGTCAAACTACTTGACCTGATTTCTAAAAATTGACAAAACTGGACTACCAAGTTACCAGAAAAAATACAAAAAATAAAGGAAATAAATGGTTACCAATTTGCTGTTGTCACAAAGACGTCATGTGCTTTATCCTAAAAAAAAAAAAAAAGGAATACTCTTAACATTGAACGATTCTAAAACATGTTTAATCTTTCCATCATTTCAAAGGCATTGTTTGCTCTCTTGCTTCCTTAGTCTACTTTGACAATAACAACAAAATATTCATTGAATGATCTTATGAGTTGGTTAGTAAGCTCTTCAGATTGCTACATATCCATTTGTACATGAAGATTCAGTACTTAGGAGAACAAGGATTTTTGTATGTATTAAATAGAAGAATGAAATAATTCCTAGCTGATTAGCTGATTTATCTTCTTATAAAATGGGTTTTCTGGATATTTACAGAACTTTGGGGAAAATATTCATACTAAATCTAACATAAAATATGCATCTAGATTTTATTTACATGCCATATTTCATTGTCAGAAATTGTACATAAAATTGTACAGGTATTCTTAAAGCAAATTGTCCCTTTAGAGGGAATAAACTAGCCAGATAGCTGCTAATTATTCTAGGAAACTGGAACTAAATACACAGCCATGTTAAAAACTGAGCTTTTCCAAAGGGAAAACCCTATTTCTCCTAGGTATTCAACAAGCAAGAAAGGCTTAATATACTCTTGGAGGAACATTCCTGATGTGACTGCAAGTTAAACTAGATGTTGTAGTAGCCATTCCATGTGCTGAAAATACAAACTTAACCCAATTACATAGAAAAAAGTATTTAAACAGGAAAAGGAGCACAGAAGTGAAAGTGCTCCTTTCAGCAGTCTCAGGTTGAGTGAGTCTTGTGCTAGTGGATCATTGAATTCATTAGTCTGGCTCTTCTAGATTCTCTTCCTCCTCAATCCCAAACATGGAAATCCAATACAGTAATCTGTTGTAGACAATGGCTGGCTAGAAAATTCACTGTTATCCTCATCAGAAATAAGATACCACCTAGGCTCATTTAGGTAGGAGAAACACAGAACACTTTCTGAATGGCTTTTCAGAAGGTGCATAGTAGTTTGCACTGAGAGTATTATTGTATATATTATCTGTTGGATATAGATATAATTTCTGTAAATTGTCCAGAGTCGTTTCAACGAGATGGGTGGTGACAAATTTGATACTTACATACATACATACCTACATACATACATAAAAATATAATTCCCTACCAGTGGTAGGGAAGCAGTACAGAAAACAAAATGGGCACTGTTCACAGAGAGGACTCACATTTGCTACTTCTGTTCTCTCTCCCAAAGGAATCTGATGCAAAGGCAAGGTGAAGGAGAGTGTTTTCCCAGAATTTGAGGAAGACTAAAGGAGAAAAAAAGCAAATGGTCAGAAGACATGTTTTTGAAATAGCAGCATTCCAAGAAGTATTATAACAATGGCTGTAACGCAATAGCTAGTAATGGATATATTGTGAAAAGCTAACAACTTTTCTATTGGGGGAGGGGGGAGAATTATTGATTCTAATTAGAGATAAAAGGCTTCAATCCAGACAGATATGCATTAAGATTACGACTACCATATCTGGGCTGCAAAACTCTGGGAGAGCACCGATGGCAGCAAGTAGAAATAAGAAACTCTAATATTTTGCTGCTATCTCAGTCCAGATATGGTAGTAACAATAAATAAATTGTACTAAAAGGCAGCTTAAAAAGAGAACAGTAGGTGGGTGAGTAGAAGGATTGGTGGCTGGTGATGGGAAGAGACAGAGAGAGATTACATGCATCAATGAAACTAACATT